TGCTGCCCGTTCTACTGCCCTTTCTGCTGCCCGAGCTGCCCGTTCTGCTTGTTCTGCCCGATCTTCTGCGACCAATGCCGGTGCCGCTACTGGAATCATAGCAGCACCCGCTACAGGCACTTCTGGTTCTTGTGTTGCCACAGCTGCTAAGCCTCTCGATTGGTTGGAGAGGCGTTTGATTTGATTTGATATGGAGGCGAGGAGTGACAATCCGTCCAGCAACACATCATCCTGTGGTTGGTGGGATGGGGAAAGGTGGGTGGGGAAAGCTGTATTGGAGCGACTTTTGAGAATTCTCAAAATTCACATCATCCTGTGGTTGGTGGGATGGGGAAAGGTGGGTGGGGAGAGCTGTCCAGCAGCCGTCTAGACAGAATCTCTCAACAGTGTTGGCAGTTCATATCGACACTTCACTGATCCCGATTGCAAAGAGCAGCATCGTTCTGTGCTAAAGGGGTACGGTTAGTCAATTCAAGTCAAGGTGAGTCAAGGCAGGCCCCCGTGCTGACCTCGTACAAGAGCAGGTCCACAATGGGAGGCCGTGACAGGTGCGATGGGCATGCCCCCATGCCCCATGATGCTGTTTTACAATGAGGATTTGTGAGCAAAGCAGCTGCAGAGAGGGTGCAAGTGAGGATAAGTGAAGGGCGGGAGGGTGCTAGTCCTCATGCTGACCTCGTGCGAAAGCAGGTCCACAATAGGAGGCAGAGACAGGTGCGATGATGGGCATGCCACCATGCCAGACGATGCTGATGCTGATGTCTTCCAAGAGTGAGGGGTTGCGAGGAAAGCAGCTGCAGGGAGCGTACACGTGAGGGTGGGGGTCATGGCAAGAAAGGTGGACAATATATATACATATATATATATATATATAATTAAGATTACTGATTGAGATTATATGTTCCAGAAAGCTGGAAATGTACAGAAGCGCCCTTGCAAGTGGTAGTTTGGGGCACGTGGCAATACCACTGCAAGGACTCGCCCTAAGTGGTCAGTCATTAAAGAAACTGTACCATTCACCTTCTGCCATGCCTTTTAAATCGACTCGAAAGTTTACTGATTGAGACGACAGCTTTAGGAGACAATCATCTATGTACACATGCATGAGAGAAAGGACCCTTCTTAAAGGCACAGTACAACCTGGTTTTTGAGAATTCTCAACGACCTACCTGCTGCCATGCCTCCCTGCAGCAGCTCCAAAGACTTCCACACCACACCCTCCCCTTCCACTGCTACTTCTCCCACCGTTCCGCTTTCATTGACACTGCCACTGCCATTGTCAGTAACACCATCCCCTCCTGCTCCCATTCCTTCTTTACCCACCCCTCCTTCTTCCCCATTCGTTCTTGCCCCTCCCATCCCAGCCCCATTCTTCCAACCCTTGTTTGATAAGTGGTGGAGCGAGGAGAGGAGAAAGTGCGTGGTGCGGAGGAGAAGCAGCAGCTGCAGACGCAGCAAGTGAGCTGCAGCGGATGAACCGGCAGTAGCAGCAACTGGGACAGCAGGAGAAGCAGGAGGAGCAGCAGGAGCACCGGGAGGAGAAGCCGCAGCAGCAGGAGGAGGAGTAGCGGGAGCAGTGGGAGCAGCATGGGCTGTGGAGTTTGGTCTAGCAGAGTAGAAAACCCAGCAGGGGGGTGCGGGTCGAGAAGTGGTGAGAGAGAGTGTGAGGGGGAGGAGGGCGGAGAGGTAGGTGATGATGGTGTGAGAGAGAGGGGGGTGAGAGGGAAGGAGAGGTGCGCAATGGAGCAACAGCTTCTGAAAGAAGGCTTCGGGGCGTGGGGGGAGAGGAGAGAGGAGAGGGTGTGAGAGTGAAGGGGTAGAGTAAGTGGTGAAGGCAGAGGTTTAATGACAACAGGTGAGAGGTTTGAAAACTCAACAGGTTTGTTGCAAATACAGACTGACAAGGACGTATGTACATTGCAGGGTCACAATCACAACACGGGCTGCCCTTCCTGGGAGGAGCAACCCGTACTGCTTGCTTCTAAAAGAGGGGGGAGAGAAGTGGGCCAGGGAGAGCAGTGGGCCAGGGAGAGCAGTGGGCCAGGGAGAGCAGTGGGCCAGGGAGAGCAGTGGGCCAGGGAGAGCAGGAAAGAGAGCGAAGGGGAGGTGCGTGTGTGGGTAGAATGGTGGGCGGTTGAGGCCTTACCAGAGATTTATGGTGAAGGTACGTGGAGTGACTGGGACCGGGAGGGTACGAGCCAACAGGAGAACTCAATGGGGCATGGACGAGCATGGGGAGGAGGCAGTGAGATACCCATGTGTGCACCACTGCCAGCACGCTTTGCACAGAAGAAGACGCCTCTAACATCGCCTCATCACCGGATGAAGACGCCCCATCCGTCGCCTCAACGCGCACCCCCATCAGCACACGCTCAGAACAATCTGCGCTCCTCCCCTTGCTGCTGCTGCGCTCACTGTCCCTCTCACTGGTGGTGGTGTCTTCACCCTGCCTGCTGCTGACATCAGCAAACTCGCCATCGCCTCTATTGCTTCTGGTGCCAGGATTTTCACTGCTGCTGAAGCCATTGCTGTTGGCGACGGTGCTGACACAGGCGGACAGCAGGCGAGTCAACCATCCCGCCGCCAGCTCTGCTGCTGCAGCTGCTGCTGCTGCTCTTGCCCGTTCCGCTGCTGCTGCTCCTGCTGCTTCCAAGACCTGTTGTTTCCCAGTATGTCCCTCCTGCTGCTGCTCCAACGACTGCCCCTGCTCCCACTGCTGCCCCTGCCGCCCCTGCAGCAGCAGCAAGGAGCGGGACCTGGAGTCCGCAGAAGAGGAGGCTAAGAGGCGAGAGAGGGGAGGCCATGGTGTGGCGTGCAGGAGAGCGAGGGCGGCCGCTTGGGCAAGGGCAGAGAGGCGCGCAGGAAAGAGGCGGAGGGTGGAGCGGGGTGGGGAGTGCGGGCAGCGTTTGAGCAGAGAGTGGAAGAGAGAGAGAGCAGCACAGGGCACGTGACCGTTGGGAGTGGAATTGACCACAGGAGCACTCGGCCCAGGCACGTTGGGAGTGGAATTAGAGGGAAAACGGGGCAAAGGCACGATGGTACTCGAGCGAAGAGCAGTGCAGGGAAGAGGCCCAATCGTCAAACCAGTATTGCTGCTGCCCTCGACGGTCGCTCCCTCTCCTTTATTTGGCACAGCGGGCGGGCAGGCACGAGGGGACCTTGGAGTTGGCTTGGAAAGCACAGGTGAGGGAGGGCAGGCAGGAGGAGAGGCGCGGAGTAGCAGGAATCGCAGAGCAGGGGAAGGGGAGCAGCGTCGGGTGGGGGAGAAACTGGCAGCAGAAGCAGCACAGGCAGCATTGGCAGCGGCAGTAGAGGCCCTGGCAAGGGCAGGAGCAGAGGCAGGGGCAGCAGGGGTAGTGGCGGCAGCAACGACAGCAGCAACTGTGGCCTGCCAGCAACGGGTTACCACTGCTGCTGCTGCGTGCTGCCCTGCATGCAAGGGGGGCGGAGGGGGGTTTGGGGATAGAGAGAGGTGCGAATTGGGGAGTGATGAGAGGGTGGGGGACGCAAGGACGAGTGGACGAAAATGGGCTGCTGTAAAAACAAACAACGGATGGTCTAGGTCGAATCAAACATCAAACCTGAGAATGGAAGTTCGAATGACGGATTGGGTGCAAAATCTTCAGACACCGCGAAAGATACTCCAGCAGACGGAGGAAAGGAGTGGGAAGGTGCATCAAAAGGTAACCCCAAGGGCATGTCAGAGTGGACCTGGTGTTACTTTTGGGAATTCTCAAAAGCAACACCAATATATTTGGACCTGACTTATAAGGGAGTCCTGCCTCAAATACACAGGCTAAGTTGCTCAAGAACGATGCCTGCATGGGAATCTATGGCGTAGTCAAGAGCACTGCATAGTCAAGAGCACTGCATAGTCAAGAAGTGCTAAGGGCCACTTCTGCAGCTCCTTGAGAATCTATGGCGGGCAAGAGCAGGGCTACCCTGAGTGTAATTGACGTCGTTGACTTTGCTTGACTTTTGCTGACTTGAGTTAAAAAGGTGGCCTTTAACTACGTACAGAGAGGGCGGGCGACAGCAGGGCGTGGCTGAGAGTGACGGCAGCAGCGCGGGCCAGTAGGGGGTCCTGGGAGAACAGGAGAGTCATGACGTCATCCACTGACATCGTGTCGTCATCCGATGGAATTCTGACGTCATCCGCGAATACGGGGACGTCATCAGCTGACTTCCCCTCGAGCCCTCCTGTTGCTTCGGATGCCTCTCTCCCTCCTCCGCCGCCGTCGCCCCCTTCTGCTTCTGCATTGTCTATCTCGCGCTTTTCCCGCTCCGGCCCCCCATCAGCGCCAGTATCTGGATGTCCTTCCCCGACTGGTAACCCTCCTTCCCGATTTCGTTGCCATTCGCCAAGACAGCCTACTTCGCCTTCTTCGCCAGCTTCATCGCTGCGCCAAATTCCGCCTCCATTTGCCCCTCGCCCACTCGCCTTCATCTATACCGCAACCACAACTGACGGTCCTTCGTGCTGCAAGTTCCGCCAACCTAACGTGCTGAAAAATCCGTCACCTACCATGCCGCAGATTCGGTCACCATCTTACATGCTGCAGACTTGGTCGCATATCGTGCGGCGGAACTCGCCAGAAAGTCAATTGTGTATACGCCCCCCTACAGTCCTACGCCCTGTTACCATTCTAGCTAGGATGCCTTGCAACTTCCGGTATTTCCTTTGTTCGTCTTATTAGACTGTATCACTAGTTCTGATAATCGTGTCAATAGACCTGCGGAACTTTCAACACATGGGGATACCACTGATAATAAACCGTACATGGCAGTGCATCATACAGGAATTCAAAATACCACCAGGTTACAACAAATCTTTTTTGAGAATTCTCAAAAAACATACCACCAGGTTACAACAACACCCTAGCTCTGAAAGGTCAGAAAGGGAAGCGAAGCAGAAATGAGGCATGTGGCTGGCTGGAAGATCAAGAGCCAAGTCATAGCAGCAAGATGAGTGATTACCCTCCCATTTCGTGCCTTTCTCCTCATTCCTCTGCCAGCCGAGGCAGCTGGCCGCCATTGAAAGCCGTGAACCTGCAATCAGTAGCAGTCACGCCCGACGTCTCATAATCCCCCACCTCCCCATCCAGAAACCCCTTCCCCTCCTCACCATCCACTGACACAGGGTGGTGCAGCAGAGCCGCAAGCCTCGAAAACTCCATCGTCCTCTGCTCCCTGCCGCTGCGGTACGTCTGCCCCATCACCCCGTGCACCTGGCTGCTCGGATTCGAGTCCACAAACATCAGGTTGATGTGCACCTGCGCGTCCTCAGGTGTTTGCAACAGAGGGTGCGCCGCGCGCAGCTTCAGCTCGAGCTCCAGGAGATTTTCCATGCGGAGGGTGTACACGTCCACGTCGAACGGGCCGGTCTTCTCCTGGCCCACAAAGGACAGAACCAGCCGCCCATTGGAGAGAACGTGGCTCTTGCCAAGGGTGAGGCGTGGGAGAGGCTTGCCGTCAAGAGTGGCGGATGCAAGGAAGCCTTGAGCGCCGCGAGTCTGCTCCTTGCCGTCCCGTGCTGTGAGCACGAGAGAATGAGACGACGCATTAACGTTTGCACTAGTGACGCTGCTGCTGCTGCTGCTGCTGCTGCTGCTGCTGCTGCTGCTGCTGCTGCTGCTGCTGCTGCTGCTGTTGCTGCTGTTGCTGCTCTCGCCGTCGTGCCACATGATCGCCAGCTGTCGGATCCACGTGCGAACCGCCAAGCCGTTGACAAACCGGGCGGCAGCCAGCGCGCTACGGTTACCAGCAGCAGCAGCAGCGGTGGGTGCGCGCGCAAGCGCAAGCGGGCGCTCGTCCAGATACCCACGCATGGCCATGTTGATGTGCACGCGGCGGTCAGTGTAGAGGCAGAAGGAGCGGTCTGGCAGCCCGTTGAAGTCAAACCGCGTGCCGTGCGCGCCCAGGAAGTGCGGGTCATTCTCGCCACACGCGCACCGCCGCCCCACGCGCACCGTGTCACCGCCCGTGTTGGTGCCGCAGCGCCCCTTGCGGGCCCTCTCGGGCGTGAGAGTGTCCACGGCCGGGATGAGGACGCACTTGCCGCGCTGCTCGCTGCTGCGGCGGTCGTGAGAGTCAGGAGATCTGGAGCAAGAAATGTGAAACAGGAGAGGTTGAGAGAGATGAGGGGGAGGAACGTCGAAATGCGCACCTGAAAAATGCTAACTTGTTCAGAAATTGTATAGCAAACCAGGCAAGCTGGCAGTCAGAAGGAAGACTTTTTGGGAAGAACCAAGAGGCGTGCAGCTAAAGGAGCAAGGTGGCAGGTGGATGGAACGGGAGGTACTTACGGAATGTGCACCCAGTGGAGACAGTTGAAGGGAGTGCCATCGGCGGTAACGTTGGTGCTACTGCATCGGCTGCAGCACTCCCTCACGCCCATAGCCGCCCCCGCACACCACGCCTCGTTTGCCTTCCGCGGCGCACCACCACTGCTGCTGCTGGTGTCAATGCTGCAGCGGCCATAGTCGGGCAGCTTCCAGTACCCCACTTCGCCTGCGTCGTTGCTGCACCCGCCCCGCCCGCACAGCCCGCCGCCATGGCTACTGCTACCACCAACATCCCCGTGCCCCCGGCCGCCATGCCCGCCGTGGCCTCCGTCGCCGTCCTCCCTCTCCTCGTCACTCCCGCCGCCGGGAATCCCGCCGTGCCGCGAATCGCCGTGCGAAACGGCGTGCGGACCACCGCTGCCGCCGCGCCCGCCTGCTGTTGCCGTCCCGCCGGTCACGCTGCCGTCGCCGCCGCGCAGAGCGACCCCGCCTGAGCGGGGGGGCTTCGTCGCAGCAGCGACGCCGGCGGCTGCTGCTAATAACGCGGATAGCGCGAGGAGGAGGAGAAACGCTCGAGACATGACGGCGTCGAGGAAGGCTCTTAAGGGAACAATCACGAAAGAGCGGTGATACAACTATCAAATATAAGAACGGCGATCGATCCGAATGGTGCTTCTGGCAGCAAGCGGTCAGATGAAGGAATTAGAAGAGGGAATCCCTGAAGTGGTGATGCTTGGGCCAGGTAAGATTAGGGTAGTCGACTTCTAGAAGACTGAAGCATGCTGATGCTGCGGTCTATCGAAAGGCTTTATAGTAGCGAATCTCGACGCTAGGACGACAGTGGCAGGGCATGGCGCCTCACGATCGCGATTCGCGACGCAAGGCTGCGTCAGCCCACTTCCCAGGGCGTGAGCATGGCACTACGGTTAACAAGAGCGCCGCGGAAGAAGAATATCATTGTCGCGCCGCGTCGTGGGAATAAGTCGCAGATGTGGTAATTGTGGACTATCAGCCCACTGCGCGTTCATGACTCCTGAAGAATCAAGGAATTTCGGAATCTGATCAAGTCTTCTGTTTCTGCTTGAATTCTTCTCTCCATATTCTGGGTTCGGCTAGTTTGGGTACGTTTCAATTCGGTTCTACAGTACTCCGAGAAGGTAGTGCTGACTTGCGGCAGAAAGGAAGCGAGGACCAGGAGGCGAACATTTTCAAACTCACCTGAATTTCGCAAGCACCATTCGCGAACGACTTCCATTCCCACAGATTCAAACTCTCCAGGAAGGCTGATGCGACACTAGCGACGCCAGAAGTATGCGAACAGTGCAGGGTAGTTTCTGGGAGTTTCTTGTGCTGGGTTTGTCCCCATTAGTGGAGAACTTCAAAAGGTGAGATTTGAACACATTGCAAAGCAGATACTCTGTATCGTCATGGAACACTGACACGAAGCAGAATGAAAACCCAGAATAGTCTACGAAATGTCACACTTCAGCATTCTTATCTCCATCTCTCATGCGACACCCTCAAACGAATGTGGCTGTCAACCGCCTAGTTGGCACCCCAAATGCAAAACATTCTCTTGAAGGGAAATCACCATACCATGTCTCATGCGTTGCAGTGTGAAAAATGTTGGAAACAATCGGTCCTAAGCGCCTCTGTCGTGTCTAAACTCTAAGACACAAAAAAAAACGAAGAATAACGAATCACCGGCGAGTCAACCCTCGGAGGTTGAAAGTAACTGTTGGAGGTTACGCAAAAGTCAAAGGTCAGTGACCTTTGACCTGACAAAGTACAACGCGACAGCAAGGACAAACAACTGACTCGGTATTGAGCAGTTGCCCGAGTCGTCACTGTATCGAACCGCAACAGCAATAGTGAAACGGTTATTAACTGTATCTCTTCGTATTCCTTGTACTCTTATAAAACGCTTGTATCTCTTTGTTTTAATCAACTTACTTTGCCCCCACATACTAGCGCAAGGTGGTTCACAACTCTTTAATTAACGCTTCCGCTGCTACACCAACTCTACCCAGAGTTCACCCCTGCAAAGATCCTAAGGGTTTTTCAGGCCAACATGGTATGAGAGCTATTAGGGGGAATTCAACTTCTATACCGACAACATCAACAAGCATGGGTACACAAAAGGAAAGGAGCAACTCCAACAGCTCCCAGGGCACTACTCCTACTCCACCTCCTCCCTCTGGCCTACAGACAGAGGAGGGCACAGCAACAAGACCCAGAGCAACATCTACCGAGACTCCCGCGAATCAACCTGCAGACTTCTGTCAGAACATTATAGCTTACTTATTTGTGTAGGCTATAGTGGGGTATCCCATAGGGGGTACAACCCAGCTAGGGTTTCCTATTTGTACTCACTTCGTTCATAGTTCACACATTTTCTCTCGTTCACTTCTTGACATGGAATCAGAGCAGGTTCCCCTGTGGGAACTGTGCTTCGGGCCCACCACCTAGAACTTTTTTTCTGCCCTGGCGCCCGCCCTAGTGCCCGCCCTAGCGCCCGCCCTAGCGCCCGCCCTTTCGAACCGCCCGTTCGCGCCGCCCGTTAGCGCCGCCCGTTAGCGCCGCCCGTGCGGCTGCCTGTTCGCGCCGCCCTTTGCGCAGCCCGTAGCGCCGCCCGTGCGGCCGCCCGTTAGCGCCGCCCGTGCGGCCGCCCGTAGCGCCCCCCAGTGAGCCGCTGCCCGTAGCGCCGCCCGTGAGCCGCCGCCCGTCGCCACCCTTTAGCGCCGCCCGTGAGCGCCGCCCGTGACGCAGCCGCCCGTGAACCGCCGCCCGTGACGCCGCCGCCCGTGACGCCGCCGCCCGTCCCGTCGCTCCCCCCCCCCCCGTGACGCCGCCGCCCGTCCCGCCGCCCGCCCGTCACGCCGCCCGCCCGTGAGCCGGCGCTGCCCGCGAACCGCCCACCCGTGGGCCTTCAGCCCGCCCGTGAGCTGCCGACGCCGCCCGTGAGCAACCGACGCCGCCGCCGCCACCCGTGAGCCGCCGACGCCGCCGACGCCGCCCGTGAGCCGCCGACGCCGCTGCCGCTGCGGTCGCCCGTGAGCCGCCGACGCCGCCGCCGCCGCCCGTGAGCCGCCGACGCCGCCGCCGCCGCCCGTGAGCCGCCGTCGCCCGTGAGCCGCCGACGCCGCCCGTGAGCCGCCCTGGCCGCCCGCCCAGCCGCCCGTGAGCTCCCCGCGCGCCGTCCCAGCCGCCCGTGAGCCGCCACCGAGCTGCCCCAGCCGCCCGTGCCGCCGCCCGAGCCGCCCGGGCCGCCCGCGCCGCCCTAGCCACCCGAGCCGCCCGAGCCGCCCTAGCCGCCCGAGCCGCCCGCGCCGCCCGAGCCGCCCGAGCCGCCCGAGCCGCCCGAGCTGCCCGAGCCGCCAGAGGAGCTGCTCTCCTGCTCCTGTCGGGCTACTGCTGCTCCTGGGCTGTGTACCTGCGCCGCTGACCTACCCGACTCTTCCTGCCCGGTGAGACTGTCAGCTGCTGTCATGGCCACCCCCAATGTCCTAGCTTTTGACGCTGAGGGTAGAGCCATTGACTTTGCAGTCTGGATTGAGGACCTGCAGCTGTACTTACTGTGTGATGCGGTCGATGAGGTCTCTCTCTTTGACTTTGTCTCTGGCGCTGTCCCTGCCCCTCCTCCTGATGCTGATTCCGCCGTTCGCTCCAAGTGGGCGACCCGCGATGCTGCTGCACGTCTTGCTGTGCGTCGCCACCTCCCTTCCTCCGAGCGTGCCCACTTTAGTCAGTGCAAGACCGCTCAGGCCTTGTACGACGCTGTAGTTGCACGCTACTCCTCCCCTTCCTCCGCTACGCTGAGCCGCCTCATGCTACCTTTTCTCTTCCCTGACCTCGCTGCCTTTCCCACTGTCGCTGACCTCATTACCCACCTCCGCGCTAGTGACGCTCGCTACCGCGCTGCCCTTCCTGCTGAGTTCCGCGCCGCCAACCCTCCTCCCATGTACATCACTCTCTACTTTCTTGTCACCCGTCTCCCTGAGTCCCTCCGTGTCGTTAGGGACCAGTTTCTCTCTGTCTTTCCCACCACCCTCACTGTCGACCTCCTTGAGGAGTCCCTGCTAGCGGCTGAGAAGAGCATAGTCGCTGTAGGGGCCTCTCGGGGTGACCCTCGCACCCCCATCTTTGAGGGGTGTTCTCCTTCCCCCCTGCTGCCCTCTGTCGCCTCTGCCGCTGCGGCCGACCTCGCTGGTTTTGAGTCGGTCGGTGCGGCGTCTTCCCCCAGCGGTAGACGCCGCTCTGGCAAGGGCAAGGGGGGCAAGGGAGCGGGTGGAGCTAGAGGGGGCAGTGGCGGAGGAGGTGGGGGTGGCGGGGGGAGTGGGGGTGGCGGTGGAGGTGGTGGCGGGAGTGGAGGTACTGGTGGAGGCGGTGGAGGCGGAGGTGGCGGCGGGGGCGGTAGCGGAGGAGGCGGGGGCGAGGGTACCAGTGGGGGCGGTGGCGGTGGAGACGGGGGCGGTGGTGGAGGCGGGAGTGGCGGTGGCGGCGGGGGTCGGAGTGTCTCGTCCCTGCGCAGCAGCTCTGGGGGTGGTCAGCGCCAGCAGCAGCCGCAGCAGCAGCAGCAGCAGCAACGATCTCGCACCGTCCCCGCCCCTCAGCAGCTCCGTGAGTGGTACTTGCAGCGTCAGCGTGGTGGTGCGTTTGGTCCCTGCCCCTACGTTCTTCGCACCGGCGACCGTGCGGGGGAGAGGTGTGGAGGCACCCACACGGCCCGCCGCTGCTTTGGCCGCCTGACCGACGCCTGGCGTCAGCAGTTTCCGGAGGCCGCTGAGATCCCCCGCTGGGGGGAGCTGTCTAGGGCTGGTGTAGCCATTTATGATCTTGACTTTGATGCTATTCTTTCTGCTATGTATGTTGTGACTGGTAGTGATGAGGATGACTGTTACCGGTGTTTCCCGCCCGACCCGGGCATTGGTACTGCTGCGTCAGGTACTAGTGAGGCTGCTGCTCTAGGTGCCAGTGCGTCTGAGCTCTCAGGTACTGGTGAGTCTGCCCTCTCAGGTACTGTGTCGGCTTCGGCCTCTCACACCTTCACACTTGACTCTGGAGCGTCTCGCTCCTTCTTTCGGGACCGCACTACTCTCACGCCGCTGAGTCGGCCGGTTGCGGTGTCCCTGGCTGACCCCTCTGGGGGGCCTGTCCTGTCTCGCTTCTCCACGGTACTTCCGTGTCCGGCGGCCCCCTCTGGCACCCTGTCTGGTCTCTACCTCCCCTCGTTCTCGACGAACCTGGTGAGTGGTGCTGACCTACAGGATGCGGGTGTCCACCAGTTCACTCCTGCTCGTCAGCGGGTGACCCACTGCACGGAGGCTAGCACGGGACGCCACCTGGCTACGTTTACACGTCGGCCAGGGTCGAGCCTGTACACACTGACCACTGCTTCTCCTCCAGGTACTGAGTCTGGTACGGTCCCTTCGTCTGGTCAGGTGTTTGCAGCAGCGTCCAGGTCTGGTCCTGAGTCTTCCCCCTGTTCGTGTCGTCGTCTGTCTCACGAGACCCTCCTCTGGCACCACCGCCTTGGCCACCCCTCTCTGCTTCGGCTCAGAGGCATGGCCTCCCGTCTTCTTGTGTCTGGTCTCCCCCGGTCCCTACCTCCCCTTCCTCAGGGCCCTGGCCCTGCCTGTGTCCCCTGTGTCGAGGGGCGCCAGCGTGCTGCCCCTCACTCCTCCCAGTTTCCTCCGACAGAGGCCCCGCTGCAGACACTTCACATGGACGTGTGGGGCCCGGCCCGCGTCCTTGGACAGGGTCAGGAGCGCTACTTCCTGCTCGTTGTTGACGACTACTCGCGTTACACCACAGTCTTCCCCTTGCGGAGCAAGGGTGAGGTTACTGAGGTGCTGATCGACTGGATCCGCGCAGCTCGTCTTCAGCTCAGGCAGAGCTTTGGCTCCGACTTTCCTGTGTTGCGTCTGCACTCTGACAGAGGCGGAGAGTTCTCCTCTGGCCTTCTTCGTGCCTACTGTCGAGCGCGAGGCATCCGCCAGTCCTTCACGCTTCCGGACTCCCCACAGCAAAATGGGATTGCTGAGCGCCGCATTGGCATGGTCATGGACGTCGCCCGTACGTCCATGATGCATGCGGCTGCCCCCCATTTTCTGTGGCCGTTTGCGGTCAGGTACGCAGCGCATCAGATCAACCTCCACCCCAGGGTCTCCAGGCCGGAGACCTCCCCAGCCCTGCTGTGGACGGGGAAGGTTGGCGATGCGTCGGCGTTCCGGGTCTGGGGATCTCGGGCGTTTGTCCGCGACTTGTCTGCGGACAAGCTGTCCCCTCGCGCTGCTCCCTGCGTCTTCCTGGGGTTCCCCCCCGACGCCCCTGGGTGGCAGTTCTACCACCCCACCTCTCGACGTGTTCTGTCCTCCCAGGACGTCACGTTCGACGAGTCGGTACCCTACTACCGCCTCTTCCCCTACCGCACTCCGTCCCTCCCCCCGCCCCCGCTTTTCCTGGTACCAGGTCCCCCCCCGGTAGACCCCCTCCCCCCTCAGGGTCCTGCCCCGTCAGGTGTGTCCCAGGTAGACGCGGTCGAGCCTGTCGAGGTCACTGGTGACTCTGGTGCTGCTGCGGGAGCTGAGCCTGGGGGTGCAGAGTCTGGGGGTGCTGAGCCTGGGGGTGCGGAGTCTGGGGGTGCTGAGCCTGGGGGTGCGGAGTCTGGGGGTGCGGAGTCTGGGGGTGCTGAGTCTGGGGGTGCTGAGCCTGGGGGTGCTGAGCCTGGGGGTGCTGAGCCTGGAGGTGCTGTGCCTGGGGGTGCTGTGCCTGGGACTGCTGTGCCTGGGGGTGCTGAGCCTGGGGGTGCTTCGTCTCGCCGGGAGCCACTCTCCCCACAGGAGCTGCGTGAGTGGTTTGCCAGGCGCTGGAGGCGTGCTGCTAGTGCTGGTGGTTCTTCGGCTGCAGAGGGCACTGCTGCCGCGCGTCCCGGCGGTGCTCGTCCTGTGGGTGCTTGAGCTGTTGGGTCTGCGAGTTCTCCTGGAGCTGGTGCTGCTGAGGGTGTTGGCGCTGAGCCTGCTGCTGGCGGTCCGACTGACGGTGCTCCTGGTGCTGCTGCTGGAGGTTCTGGAGCTTCTGGTGGTGCTGCTGGAGGTGCTACTGGAGTGGGTGCTCCTGCCGAGGGTGCTGGTGCTGTTCCTGCTGTTTCTGGAGTCGCCGCGCGGCCCCGACCGTACTTCGTTCCGCTCCTGCAGCAGGTTCTTGGTCTTCCCCTTTCTCCTCCTCCCTTAGAGGGTCCGCAGCCTGTCCGGTCACAGCCACAGCTACAGCCTGCCTCCCCTTTGCCTGCTCCTTCTCCCTACGCTGGTCCGACTGGAGGTCTTACTGAGCGTCGTGAGCCTGCGTCTCGTCCTGCGTCGCCTGTTCGTCCAGAGCGCGCTAGTGGTCGCGGTTCGCGTCAGCGTCCTCCTCCTGTCCCTGGCACGCACCGGATGTCTCTGCGTCCGTCCACTGCTCCTCTGCGTGCCCCTTTGCCTTCTCCTCCTGCTTCCTCTCTTCCTGCTCTTGCCGACCCGGAGTCGGACTCTCTTCGTGCTGCCAGTCCTACTGTCACGCGTCTCCTTGCTACTGCTGTCACTGACCCTTCCTTCGAGTCGTCTGCTGCGTCTGCCCTTGTCACTGAGCTTGTCGACTTTGCTGCGCGCTGTCGTCTAGACTACGCTGCCAGTCTTGTCGCTGAGTCTGAGTCTGCCTGTCCTCCGTTCGTCGGGGGTGAGTGTGCCCTCGGCACGGACGTCCTTGAGGACAGGCAGGAGGAGTTCCAGTGTCTGGCCGCCGCTTCACCCCATCTCGCGTCTGTACTGCTAGCCCCTGAGGGAGACCCGGATGCACCAGACATCCCGACTCCGCGCTCTTACGCGGAGGCGATAGAGGGTCCCTACTCCTCTCAGTGGCAGGCAGCTATGGACGCAGAGATGGCTTCCTGGAAGTCCACAGGCACCTACGTCGACGCTGTCCCCCCTCCTGGGGCGAACATCGTTAGTGGCATGTGGATTTTCAGGGTGAAGCGGCCGCCGGGTTCTCCGCCTGTCTTCAAGGCGCGTTACGTGGCTCGTGGCTTCAGTCAGCGGAAGGGGGTTGACTACTTTCAGACCTTCTCCCCCACCCCGAAGATGACCACTCTTCGGGTTCTGCTGCACGTTGCTGCTCACCGTGACTACGAGCTGCACTCTCTCGACTTCAGCACAGCTTTCTTGCAGGGCAGTCTGCACGAGGAGATCTGGCTGCGTCGCCCACCTGGCTGCGTGCCAGGGACAGGAGGAGGACGCTGACGCGAACCGTGACCACTAGTGCGAGCAGCACGAACAGGCGACGCAGGACGATACGCAGGCTCACGACGCTCAGCAAGACCTCCAGTAGGACCAGTGTAGGGACAAGGAGCAGGCAGTGGGGAGGCTGGCGGAAGCTGTGACTGGGACTGGACAGGCCATGGACACTCTAAGGGAGGAGGAAGACCAAGAACGTGCTGAAGGAGCGGAACGAAGTACGGCTGAGGCCGCGCGGCGTCTCCAGAAACAGCAGGGACAGCACCAGCGCCAACACCACCGCCAGCTGAAGGCCCTCCAGCAGGACCAGCAGCACCCGCAGCAGGACCAGAGCCAGCAGCACCTCCAGCAGCACCAGCAGCACCCCCAGCAGAACCGTCTCCAGGACTGACAGCAGTAGCCTCAGCGCCAACACCCTCAGCAGCTCCAGCGCCAGGCGAACCCGCAGGTCTAGCAGCTCCAGTACTCGCGGCACGAGCACCTTCGGGACCGGCGGCACCAGCACCCTCAGCAGCCGAAGAAGCTCCAGCAGTATGCCTCCTGCGCCGAATAAACCACTCACGCAGCTCCTGTGGAAAGAGTGGCTCCCGCCGAGACGAAGCACCCGGAGAACCTCCAGGCCCAGCACCGCCAGACGCCACACGAGCAGGCCCAGCGGCTGCCGGCTCCGCACCCCCAGGCTCAGCAGCTCCAGACGTGGCACCCCCAGGCTCAGCACCTCCAGAGGTAGGACCTCCAGGCTCAGCACCCCCAGGCGTAGCACCCCTAGGCTCAGCACCCCTAGGCGTAGCACCCCCAGGCTCAACACCCCTAGGCGCAGCACTCCCAAGCTCAGCACCCCCAGCAGTACCACCCTAAGGCCCATCACCCCTGGGCGTAGTACCCACCCGCGCAGCACCCCCAGAGTCAGCACCCCCAGGCTCAGCACCCACAGCAGCACCAGAGTCACCAGTAACCTCGACCGGCTCGACCGCGTCTACCTGGGACACACCTGAAGGGGCAGGACCCTAAGGGGGGAGGGGGTCTACCGGGGGGGGACCTGGCACAAGGAAGAGCGGTGGCGGGGGGAGGGAAGGAATGCGGTAGGGGAAGAGGCGGTAGTAGGGGACCGACTCGTCAAACGTGACGTCCTGAGAGGACAGAACACGACAAGAGGTGGGGTGGTAGAACTGCCACCCGGGCGCGTCAGGGGGGAAGCCAAGGAAGACACAAGGAGCAGCACGAGGGGACAGCTTGTCCGCAGACAAGTCGCGGACAAACGCCCGAGATCCCCAGACACGGAACGCAGACGCATCGCCTACCTTACCCGTCCACAGCAAAGCTGGGGAGGTCTCTGGCCTGGAGACCCTGGGGTGAAGGTTGATCTGATGCGCCGCGTACCGAACCGCAAATGGCCACAGAAAATGGGGGGCAGCAGCATGCATCATGGACGTACGAGCGACGTCCATGACCATGCAAATGCGGCGCTCAGCAATCCCATTTTGCTGTGGAGAGTCCGGAAGCGTGAAGGTCTGGCGGATGCCTCGCGCACGGCAGTAGGCTCGCAGAAGGCCAGAGGAGAACTCTCCGCCTCTGTCAGAGTGCAGACGCAGAACAGGAAAGTCCGAGCCGAAGCTCTGCCTGAGCTGGAGACGAGCTGCGCGGATCCAGTCGATCAACACCTCAGTGACATCGCCCTTGCTGTGCAAGGGGAAGACTGTGGTGTAACGCGAGTAGTCGTCAACCACCAGCAGAAAGTAGCGCTCGTGACCCTGTCCACGGACCCGGGCCGAGCCCCACACGTCCATGTGAAGCGTCTGCAGCGGGGCCTCTGTCGGGGGAAACGGAGAGGAGTGAGGAGCAGCCCGTAGCCGCCCCTCGACACAAGGGACACAGGAAGGACCAGGCCCCGAAGGAAGGGGAGGGAGGGACCGGGGAAAACCAGAGACAAGGACACGGGAAGCCATGCCTCGGAGACGAGGCAGGGAGGGGTGCCCAAGACGGTGGTGCCACAAGAGAGTCTCGTGAGACAGGAGGCGACACGAGCAGGGGGCAGACTCAGGACCAGACCTGGACGCTGCAGCAAACACGTGACCCGACGCAGGGACAGGAGGAGACTCAGTGGTCAGGGTGTAGAGGCTCGACCCCGGCCGACGCGTAAACGTGGCCAGGTGCTGGCTTGTGCGAGCGTCCGAGCACTGGGTCACCCGCTGACTCGCAGGAGTAAACTGGTGGACCCCCGCATCCTGCAGGTCAGCACCACTCACCAAGTTCGTAGAGAACGAGGGGAGGTAAAGACCAGACAAGGTGCCAGAGGGGGCAGCCGGACACGGGAGGACAGTGGAGAAGTGAGAGAGGACAGGACCCCCAGAGGGGTCTGCCAGGGAGACTGCAACCGGCCGACCAAGCGGCGTGAGTGTGGTGCGGTCTCGAAAGAAGGAGCGAGAAGCCCCTGAGTCAAGTGTGAAGGTGAAGGAGGCCGAAGCCGACGTAGTACCTGAGAGCGCAGACTCACCGGCACCTGAGGACGCAGACGCACTGGCACCTAGAGCAACAGCCGCACTAGCACCTAGAGCAGCAGCCTCACCAGCACCTAGAGCAGCAGTCTCAATGCCCGGATCAGGCGGGAAACACCGCTAACAGTCACCCTCGTCACTATAAGTCACAGCATACATGGCAGCAAGAATAGCATCAAAGTCAAGATCAAAGATAGCTACACCTGCCCTAGACAGCTCTCCCCAGCGGGGGATCTCATCGGCCTCCGGGAACTGGTGACGCCAAGCGTCCGTCAGGCGGCCAAAGCAGCGCTGGGTGGAGTGGGCACCCCCACACTACTCACCCGCGCGGTCGCCGGTGCGAAGGACGTAGGTGCACGGACCAAAACCACCACCACGCTGACGCGCAGCGTACCACTCACGGAGCTGCTGAGGGGGGGGGATGTCCCAAGAACGCTGCTGCTGCTGCTGCAGGCGCTGACCACCACCGAAGCCGCTCCGCTGCGAAGCGCCACCCCGACCAGCTCCACCTCCACCACCGCCTCCTCCACCTCCGCTACCACCGCCGCCTCCGCTCTTACCGCTACCACCTCCGCCTCCAGTGCTGCCACCGACACCTCCACCCCCGCCACCACTCCCACCGCCACCCCCACTCCCTCCGCCGCCTCCACCGCCACCTCTGCCACCCCCGCTAGCTCCACCCGCGCCCTTGCCCCCTTTGCCCTTGCCAGAGCGGCGTCTCCCGCTAGGGGCAGACGCCGCACCGACCGACTCAAGACCAACAAGGTCGGCCGCAGCAGCAGAGGCGACAGAGGGCAAAAGGGGGGAAGGGGAACACCCCTCAAAGGTGGGGGTGCGAGGGTCACCACGAGAGGCTCCTAGAGCGACTATGCTCTTCTCCGCTGCTAGGAGGGCCTTTCTCTAGGAGGTCAACCGTGAGAGTGGTGGGACAGACCGAGAGGAAGTGGTCCCTGACTACACGAAGGGAGTCAGGGAGGCGGGTGACTATATAATAGAGATTGATGTACATGGGGGGGGGGTTCTTGGCGCAGAACTCAGCAGGAAGCGCAGCGCGGTAGCAAGAGTCACTAGTGCGGAGGTGCGTAATGAGGTCAGCGACTGTGGGAAAGGCAGCAAGGTCAGGGAAGAGGTACGGCAGCATGAGGCGGCTCAGTGCAGCAGTGGCAGGGGAAGAGTAGCGTGCAACTACGGCGTCGTACAAGGTCTGAGCACTCTTGTACTGACTAAAGTGTGCGCGCTCAGTGGTAGGCAGGTGGCGACGCACAGCAAGACGTGCAGCAGCATCGCGAGTGGCCCACTGGGAGCGAACTGTGGCGTCGGCATCGGCAGCAGGGGCAGGGGAGGCACCAGAGGTGAGGTCAAAGAGGGAGAGACCGTCTGCCCTATCGCACTGTAGGAAAAGCTGTAGGTCATCTACCCAGACCTCAAAGTCAATGGCCCGACCCTCAGCGTCAAAAGCGAGAACACTGGGGGTGGCCATGAAAGCAGTAGGCTAGCAGTGCTAACTGTAGGACAGGGGCAGTGCAGTGACAGAAGCGCTGCTCTCACCAGGCAGGGCGGTTCGGGCAGCTCGGCAGCAGAGCAGCACGTCAACACGGCGGCTCGGGCGACTCGGGCGGCTCAGCAGCAACTGCGGCTCGGCGACACCAGCGGCTCGGCTCCTCTGCGGCTCAGGCGGCTCGGACGGCTCGGGCGGCTCGGGCGGCTCGGGCGGCTCGGGCGGAACGGACGGCTCGGGCGGCTTGGGCGGCTCGGGCGGCTCGGGCGGCTCGGTAGGGCGGCGGGGCCGCAGCGAAGGGCGGCGGGGCCGCAGCGAAGGGCGGCGGGGCCGCAGCGAATGGCGGCGGGGCCGCTGGGTAGGCGGCGGGGCCGCAGTGAGAGGGGCGGCGGGGCCGTAGCGAGAGGGGCAGCGGGGCCGCAGCGAAGGGCGGCAGAGCCGCAAGGTAGGCGGCGGGGCCGCACGAGAGGGGCGGCGGGGCCGCAGCGAAGGGCGGCGGAGCCGCAAGGTAGGCGGCGGGGCCGCAGCGAGAGGGGCGGCGGGGCCGTAGCGAAGAGCGGCATGGTCGCAGAGAAGGGCGGCGGGGCCGCAGAGAAGGGCGGCGGGGCTGCAGCAAAGGGTAGCGGGGCCGCAGCGAAGGGTGGCGGGGCCGCAGCGAAGGGCGGCGGGGCCTTAGGAAAGGGCAGCAGGGCTGTAGTGAAGGGCGGCGGGGCCGGGACAGGGCGGCGCCGGGGCCGTAGGGCGAGGCGACGGGGCCGTAGGGCTAGGCGACGAGGCCGCTAGGACGATGGGGCCGCTAGGGCGACGGGGCCGCTAGGGCGACGGGGCCGCTAGGGCGGCGCGACGCAGTGAGAGAGAGGAGCGCGACTCGGGCTGAGCGCGCTCCGGGCAGGAAAAAAAAAATCGATGTGGTGGGCCCTAGGCACAGTTCCCACTAGGGAACCTGCTCGATACCATGAGAAAACTGAAACGAGAATGATTGACTAAGGAACGAAAGTGATACAAATATGCAACCCTAGAAATGTGTACCCCATATTCGCTACCCCACTATAGCCTACACAACATTATAATTTGACATTTTTCTCCTTCATGTCCTTCTACGAGCAACACCAGCAATCGGTATCTGCGAAGTCACACAACAGCAATAACAACGGAGCAACACCCATGAGTCTCGACGGCTCATCATATGCACGAGGAAATCAACAACAGCAGCCTACCTTTGCTCCGTACGAGCGCGGGTCTATCAGCTTTATGCCACACCCACAGCCTTCACCTGGACAAGAAAAATCACTGGACGCATTACAAGTTCAGTCGCAGTTCGCACACGTTCTGAAGATGCAGACGTCAAGACCCTTCGATGGAAAGGACTTCTTCACCTGGTCGTTCGAGTTCGAGCTGATGATGGAAGGCGCGCAGATACTCGGGTTCTTCGACGGGTCTCTGCCATACCCAACAAACGGCACACAGTACGAGAAGCAGCAGTACACCTATCAGTCAATGATGGCGTACACGATCCTACTAAGGAATATCACCCCGACTCAACAGCAGAACATAAGGTCTTACCGAGGTTACGGCAACTCCGCGGAGCTCGCGTACAACCACCTGAAGAGCCTGTATCAAGCAACAGACAGCGTAAGCCAAAGTCGGTTAATGGCGCAACTGACAACGGTTGAAATGAAACCAGGGGAGAAAGGAATGGCGTATATCAGTCGATGTCGCGAGTTGAGCGACAAGCTTCTTCGATGCGGAGGGTCGATCTCTGAAGACGCCTTCGTGACTGTCATCATCGGCGGCCTCGGTCCTCAATGGCGCGCCACAAAGGCCATTCTCCGAGCTCACGGAAGAATCTCCGAAGCAGCGCTCTGTGCCGAAATCCACGCCGAGCAGCAAGACATGGACCTGCAAGAAGAACGACACAAAAAGAAGACATCATCACCGGAATTCGCGTTCCACACTCAGCGACGCTACAACAACAACAACAACCGGCAGCAACAACCGAAGCCAGTACCTCCGTTGTGCCACATCTGCAAAACTTCAGGACACCCGCGTACGCACTGCCCAAATCGTCAACAGTCAACAACTCCACAGCGGCAACTTCGACCTTCAAGCAGCCAAATCGCCTCAACGCAAGCAAATCCCACGACCCAGATTCAAGCCACAACGACTTCAACGGGACAACCTGCACAAGGAGCAAGAAACATCGTCAGCTGCATGGCAAAGCTGAGTGACTCCTTCATCACCGAGTCACCACCACACTACTCACCGGAAGAACAACTCGACGAAACCACACCCCGCCGCAAGTCACTTCAGCCGAACCCGACATACGCCGCCATCGCCCAAAGCGAACCATCCGGAAAGGACACATGGTTCTTGGACAGTTGCTGCGGACAGCACATGTGCTCCTCGGGACGCTTCGTTCAACGAGAACACCAACTTCAACGCGAAGTTGTCATTACAGTCGCCAACAATCAGAACCTGCGAACACGACGACAAGGCGTAGTTCAACTTCAGTCAAGGGAAACAAACGTTATACTGCAGATGTCAAAAGTACTAATCGCGGAGGGACTCGGCTACAACTTACTGAGCGTCAGTCAGCTAATGGCGAAAGGGATTCACCTCGAAGCAGACAGCACCACCCAAGAATTCAAGCTGTATCACGGGAGAGGAGGACTTTACATCGGCAAGGCGGTCCTCAAGAACAACGTCTTCGTTCTTGATTTCGTTCTTGATCTTGGCACCGCCGAGAGCGACGCCATCGTTAACTTCACCAACTGGACACACCCTCCAGACCTTGATCCAGACTTCAGTCCAGAAGGCTTCTGGTATTCACACACCATCCCTGAAGCAGAAAGAACAAGGGCGTTACCAACAATTCAGACAACATCAGCAGCAGGAGAGACAACATCGGCAGCAGCAGAGACAACATCGGAAGCAGCAGAGACAGCATCGGCAGCAGCAGAGACAACATCGGCAGTAGCAGAACCATCAACGGCAGCAGCAGGAACGTCAACACCAATTGCTGGTCCTTCAACGACACCGCTCCTCATTGACGACACACCATCGACACCCGCGCAACAACTACACCCAGCACCACGAGAAGTTTATCGTAGCGCCAACTTCACCGCCAACTTCTACTCCAACTCCGATATGTACCGACGATCACCCGGACATCGCGCCGACGAAAGCACCTGGCACGCAAGGATGGGACACCCAAGCAACACAGTATTAAACAATACGATAAGAGCAGGAGTACTCGACAAGGACTCACTCCTACTGACCGACGGACGAGAACTTCAACGAGTACACGAAATGTGCCTCACCTGCCCTGAAGGTGACTTACCACATCGACCGTTTGCGTCTCATCACAACCCAAGCGCACCCGCGTACGCACCACTCGAGAAGGTGTATAGCGACATCCTGTTCAATCGGGAACCAGGACAAGTAATATACAACTATACAATCACCTTCATCGACGCCGCCACCCGTTACGTCTGGCACCTAAACCTCCCTAGCCGCGACATGGCATTCGCAGCCTTCGTTGCCTGGCTACTAGTAGCAGAGAGAGAATCGGGCGTGAAACTGAAAAGCTTCCAGTCAGGCGGAGGAGGAGAATACACCTCTCAGCGATTCAAGCACTACCTGGTGGAAAGGGGAATCAAGCGGCTCATCTCCCTTCCCTACGCCCATCAGCAGCAGGGTGTAGCAGAAAGAATGAACAGGACCTTGCAGAACAGCATGCGCAAACTATTACGTGGCATGCGGCTACCCAACCACCACTGGCCTGCAACAATGGACCACACCGTCATGCTACACAACTTGCTGTCGTCATCATCGCTTCCGAACAACGCATCACCGCATCTGCTATGGACAGGGAAACAGGGCAGCACAAAACTGTTACGAGTATTCGGATGCATGGTACAGTACCGACCCCCAGCAGCACGAGCGGGCCGATTTTCTCAACGAGCACAGTGGGGACTACACTTGGGAATCGAAAAGAACTACAACGCGTGGAAAATCTTCGACGTCTACTCCAAGGAAACAGTAGCAGCACGTGATGTAATTTTCTACGAACGACTCACGCTCCAGACATACCTTGCCAACCTGCACGAAGACCAGGATCCCACAGGTGGTTTTCGTGGTGACTGAGCCTTCGCCTCAGCAGCGGACGAAGCTGACTGGGACGAGCAGAATGTGGATAACGCATCAGAAGAAGCCGGACCTCTTCCGTTCTGCTCCGTCGACGTTCCCATGGACGAAGATAACCCTCGCGAAAGTGTCAACGTCAAAACCTTCTACTATTTCGCCGACAACGGTTACGTAACACCTGCGACAGTCAACACCAACGAAGCAGAACGAGTAGGACCCAACTTCATACCTGATCCAGAAGTGGGAGATGAAGCAGCTTATCCCAAGGACGCAAATCTTCCCCGCTACTCACAGAGTGGACTGCAAATTCTCGGACTCGTCACCGCAGTCCACGGCACCGCCATTCCTAAAGAGCCTGCGACGGTTCAACAGGCTCTGGGGGGGGAGCATAAGGAAAAATGGCGCGAAGCCATGGACAAGGAGCTGAAGGCATTGGAGGAACGCAACACGTGGAAAGCGGTTCCTATCGGCGTGGCACAGAACAAGACAGTGCTCACCGGGAAGTGGGTCTTCCGTGTGAAGACAAAGGCTGACGACACCATTGACAAATTTAAAGCTCGCTGGGTCGTACGCGGCTTCGACCAAGAACACGGACGCGACTTCACCGAAACTTTCGCTCCGGTTAGCCGCCACACCTCACTACGCATTCTCCTCGCAATCGCCGCCATGAAGAAGAAGAAGCTGCGACAAATTGACGTCCCGAACGCGTTTCTCTACGCACCTGTTGATGCAGAAATTCTCGTCGAGCTACCGCACGGCTCCCACAGAGAACCCAACCAAGTCTGCCAGCTACTCAAGTCACTCTACGGCATCAAGCAGGCTCTGCGACTGTGGCA